CATCATTAATCATCTTTGAAAGATGTTAAGAAATCAATCAACTCCTTATTCTGAAAATTGTAAATAAAGGGAGAGAATCAAACATTTATCTCCTCTTTCCTGTCTGACCAGTACTTTAGGATAACCAAATAGCTAATGAAAATTTATAGAAGTATTCTAGCATCTCCTAAAGAAATAATGGATCTGGACATTGATTATCAATGGCTGTTATAGCCATTAAGTGAGAAGCTGCAAGAAACTTTTTAAGTTACAGCCTAGGACACTTGAACCCACCAGTCAATATTAACATCACAGAGAGACAATCATATCTCATATGTGCCTCCTGATGGAAGTGTAGAAAGCCATCTGTTAAGTATTCTTGCCAAAAAATTGTACCTGAATCTGATCAAGACTCCACATCTAACCATCAGTTTACAGATGATGCACAAAGGGACAGAGGAACATGTTAAACAGTATCTGGATGTAAGCAGAAAAATATGGAATGTGAGAAACTCTACAGGACGAACAACCCATTTTCTTCAGCAAAGAAATTTTAAGGGAAAAAGCGGCATAAGAGATCAGCCAAATACAATGTGTGAATCATGCTTCAATTCTGAGCTAAATAAACCAATTACTAGATAAAAACAAACAAAAAAACAGTGAGACATTAGTAGAAATTTGAAAACTGTTGGATATTTGATGCTATTAACAAATTATAGTTGATTTTTTAGGTGTAATACTGTTTTTAAGAGGAGTTTTTTTAGGTGTGTGTCTGTTTTTGGTTTTTTTTAAGTGTCCTTGTTAGAAATAAACACAGAAAGACCTATGGATGAAATGATTTCTGGGATTTAAAAAAAAAAAATAATCCAGAAAGAAAGTGTATGGGGCAAAAAAGAAACAAAATGGACCACGATTGATAATTATTTAATCTGGGTGATGGGTCTATGGGGGTTCACTGTACAGGTAGTCCCCAACTTACGACAAGGTTCCGTTCTGATGACTCTGTGGTAAGTCAGTTCTGGCTTAAGTCAAATACCTAATTTTTTTTTTTTTTTAAGTTTTCATTATTATTGCCTTTATTATCAGTATCTTTATAAATCCAATCTTTGTCTTTGGAAGTTAGAAACATTACATATAAACTTGAAGAGATATTTTAATACATACATACATAAAAAATACACAAATCATAAAAATTTACTCCGACGATGAAGAAGAGTTGGTTGACGTTGTTTTGTCAGTCGTAGTAATAACTGCACTTGTGGAAGGTTCTGAATCATCTGGATTATCCCTGGGAATGGGAATGGTGTTTCTGGGCAGAAAATTAATAAGAGTTTCTGTATAGTCCCTTTCTTTTTTCCTTCATAAATTTCATGGTAACATCTCACTGCTTCCCAAATCTGCCTATCCACTTTAGCAAATCAATCAAAGTGTTTGGGTCCATGTTTTCAAGCAACTGAAGTCCTTGATTTAGTTTAGAAAAAATTCCAGCTAATCCCTTCGCTGTAAAATCTTTTTTTAACAACTTCTGTCATTCTCTTCCTCCTTATTTCTTTCTTGTTCAGCATTTCTTTATACTTCAAAATCCATTCAATCCTGATCTGTCAGTTCCCCTTCTTCGTGATCTATGAGCTATTCCACATTGGCAATAGCAAGTTCTAAATTCAGCATTGTTGCCATATGGATGATTTTTCCACGGATCTATTCCATCATATTATCCTGATGAAACACTTGGAGCATGTTCATGTAACCCAGCATTTTTTTCCATATCCCCTGCATGCGTTTTCCAGTAGCTTCCTCCCAAGAAGATGCAATGTTCCAGATACACTGACGGTTGTAAATTTGGGACTGGTTCATCGTAACTTGAATATGTCACAAGTTGGGAACTCCTACCTGTACTGTTTTCTCTACTTCTGTATACGTTTGAAATTTTCTATAATAAACAAGTTTAAAAATACACGTATACAGAGGAGGAAAAAAGAGTGCCGTTTGCAACAAGGTACACCCCAACTAGCAGAAAAAAATGTTAGAAGTGAGCTGGCTCAATCTTTTAAAGAATATAAAGAGAATATACAAAATAAGAATGGTTGATAAAAGAATGAGGTGAAATGGAAACTTTTTGAAAATAGAAAATTAAAAACAGGAAATAAATAGCTTACACAGTAGAGGGAAAGTTTTTTTTAAAAAAACAAACAAACCCTTATCAGGGCCCATTTAATGCTTTTCCCCATGAACTCTTATTTTCTATTACTAATATGGCGGCTCCTTTTTTGATCATATTTTAATTTGCCTATCCTTTTACACTTCACTGTTTTTGGTCAATTTGTATGATTTTTGTTGTTTGACTCAGTCTCTGTGTTTGAGGAGAAAATTGTGTCCATTTGCATAAAAAAGTCTTCATATTATAAAGTGAAAAAAGTCATCTCTAAAGAAGCCTAAAAAATAATATAGGAAAAAGAAAATCAGTACGGATATATACCAAAAGGTTAGTAGTCTGTTATTGTGGGTATGTTTTATTTTATTTTTGCTTATCTGTATTTTTTCTGAAATTAACACATACCAAGGTGCGCCTGACCCAAGCCATGGTGTTTTCAATTGCACATGCATGCAAAAACTGGACGATGAATAAGGAAGACCGAGAAAGAAATGACGCCTTTGAATTGTAATGTTGGCAAAGAATGTTGAATATACCATGGACTGCTAAAAGAATAAACAAATCTGCCTTGGAAGAAGTACAATCAGAATGCTCCTTAGAAGCAAGGATGGCGAGACTATATCTCACATACTTTGTACATGTTGTCAGGAGGAACCAGTCCCTGGGGAAGAACATCATGCTTGGTAAAGTAGAGGGTCAGCGAAGAAGAGGAAGACCTTCAACGAGATGGATTGACACAGTGGCTGCAACAATGGCTTCAAGCATAACAAGGATTGTGAGGATGGCACAGGACCAGGCAGTGTTTTGATCTGTTGTACATAGTGTTGCTATGAGTCGGAACCCACTCGACAGCAACTAATAACAACAACATAGTTGTCACAAAAAATAAAGTTTTAAGTAAAAATTAATAAAATGAACTTTCTAATCACCTGAAAAAAAGGAGGAAGAGGAAAAGGACAAAAAAATATATTGAGATCATTTGTCTAGATCTTAGGAGATTTTTATTAGCATATGACATCCAGCCTGACTCTGAGAAACTTGATAAAAATTTTGTAAGCTCAGTTCTGACCCAGAAAGAAAGATTCTTGATGCAGGCTTATATCCAGGGGCTTTGTTTCCTTAGATATTACACAGAAGCCATGACTAGGATCATCAGGGCCTCTGATAAAACATCAAATATGTTTATTTATGTTTTATATACTCGGTACAAGAAATATGCATTACCTTTGTACACAGGAGGAAGTGTGCTAGCTAACTTGTTGGGATTATGAACTCCAAGGGAAAGGCATTATGCAGGAGTGACTTTCAACCCTATCAAGTGTTAACATCTTCTTTTTAGCAGTGAATTCTGGGGGAGGGAGCAGGATTAAAAGTGTTTTGCCTTTCAAGTTCACTTCAAAACCTCTTAATAATATTAGACCTCCAAGTGATTACTGATGCCATTTCTTCTGGGTGATGGTGATTGATTATAATGGTGATGGTGATGAAAAATGAATGCCTGTGGTAATAGTACATTTTGTTGTTTTTAGTTGCTGTTGAGTCTATTCCGAGGGGTAAGTTCTAGCTTTTGTACTAGGAAGGCTGACTCCTCCAGCCTTCAGTTAGGCAGTGGACTGATTTGGGTTGAGTTAGGAATAAAGAGAACCACTGAGGCAAATCATTTCTCTTAGCCCAAGCATGGGCCTCCACACATTGTCTGGGCCGGGAAGGCCCTAAACAGACCCTACAGCAAAACTACCCAATAGGGTTTCCAAGAAGTGAGTGGTGGATTCAAACTGCCGACCTTTTGGTTAGCAGCCAAGCTCTTAACCAAGGCACCACCAGGGCTACCACGAGACTCTCAGCACACAGTAAGCAAATAGGTGCCAGCCATTTTCTGGGCTCACAGATGCCCTGAAAAAGCCCCGAACCAGAGTGTCAGGTGCCGTGTGAAGTGGTGTTCTCCAGTCATCTCTGAAGAGCTTGATTCTTCCTGTACCTTTTCACTTTCCACCTCACTCCCCTCTGCATGCCTCCGACTTTCCCCTCTCCTCCCCAAGCCTACATCTTGCCTTACCCACTCCTCTGCTTTCCCAAGAAGAGTAAACTTTGCCTTTTCTTTTCTCCACAGCTCAGCGTAGCTTCACTGTTTCTTTTCTCCCCTTTTCCCTCCTGGCCAAAATTAAGTCCTTCCCTTAAGCTCTGGATCTCTCCCCCACCTCCTGAGGAACTTATCTTCCCTCTTTCCTCTCTCCACCAACAAATGTGCTCAAGTTCCTACTTGTTTGAAACCTCTACTCTCAACCCTGCCTCCCAGTCATAGGACACACTGCTTTTTCTTTCTCTTCTCTGCCAAACTTCTGTCTCCTATTGCTTTTAACCTGCTTTCCTTCTCATGATGAATTGTCCTTCCTCCTCACCCTGGGTGGTCCATCTCCCAGAGTTTTCTCCAAAAATTGTATCTGCCTGCACTGGCTGTATTTTTGGATATTTTCTCCTTGACTGCACAGTGCCTGATCTCCATGTTCCCAGATTGCAGGAATACTTTGGGCAGCAGGGACTTTGATGAATGTGTGGATAACCTTCTGGAGAGCTTCCTGGTCTGAGATATTGATTCTTGTTGAACAAATATTGTCTCTGCTCCTACAGCTGACCACACAAGAGCTGGCGGGGCCTGCCTCCTCAGGCTCAGGCTCCACTGAGCAGGATCTGTCAGACCCCCACAATAGCTAGCCAGTGAACAAGCTAGGGTAGGGAGGGTGTGCTGGAATCTAAGGATATAAGGGGTGGCCTCCAGCAGGTTCACAGCCAAGACAGATGCACAGAAATGCTAACTAGTACTCCAGCCTATTGCATTTTTAGGATCCTTAACAGCACTGTTGTATTCCAGGTTCTCCAAGCCAGCACCCATGTTCCTGGATGACTCCTTCCGCAAGTGGGCTAGGATCCGGGAGTTTGTGCCACCTTTTGGTATCAAAGGTCAAGGTATGTTGGGGATGCTGGCCCACTCTATATTAACATCTCATCCCCTAAATTATCTCCCTATACTTTGGGACAGGTCTATACCCATCCCCCACTCCCCACTCTCAACAATGCCTTTACCTTCTCTCCCTCTTTCCCTTCCTTCCTTTTTTATATCTTTAACAGAATTGTTTATCAGAGCCCACTGCTTTGCCAGAGGCTAGGTGTACAATGGTGAGGTAGACAGACATGATCCCTCTCCTCAAAAAGCTCCAGTTTTGTGGAGAACACAGATACTCAGGACAGTAATGACTCTGACGAGAGAAGTACAGGTGCTGTGAGACCATAGGAAAGGTGTGCCAGAGACACTAGGGCTAGAACACTGGGCCAGAGGGGGAAAGTCCCCGAGAAAACAGGCCGCAGGAATGCCCTGAAACTCCTCCATCATCCCCTCCTGCTCTTTATCATCTTAATCTAGTCTCCCAGTCTTTTCTCATCCTGTCCAAGGCTCATCTTTCTACCTATACTCTCAGAAATTGTCCCCTTCGATTGCCTTAAGGACCTCACCCATACAGTTCTCTCCTAACTCAAGACTTTCCCATCGCTAACAATTTAACAGTTCCATCTACTTGTCAAGTTCCTGCACTGTTTTGGGGCATGGTGGAAAAGAGCTTGGGCTTTAGGGTCAGACATACAGGGATCAGATCACTGTACTGCCTCTTTACTGTCTGTGACCTTGGACAAGTTACTTAGCCTCTCTGTGCTTTAGTTTCCTCGTCAGTTAACTGGAGATAATAATATTATTGTATAAGGTTGTGACCACAATTAAATAAGATAACTGATAAAGGAGTGATGTTATTTGGCCAGAGGACTCAAGAATCCCTGAAACTTCTACTCAGCTGGCCCACCCCTCCATAAAAAAGAAGACAATGACGAGCAAAAGGACACTCTTGAACTGGGGCTTTGACCTCAAACCTCCGAGGATAAACCCCAATGGATTGGGCTGAAACATAGGAAGAATTCCTTTCTTGTGGGTGTAGGTTACCAAGCAGCCCAGTCTTTCCTCCTAAATCCCTGCTCAAGGCTCTGATCCTGCCTATAGCTGGGAAGGCCAGTAAAGGCCAATACAGAGCCCACTGGCCAACAAGAAGAGAGCACCTGCTAGTTTATACCCTTTCTGCTAAGATTGTCTTCCTAGACAGCAAAACTCAATCCATATCCTTGATCTCAGCCAACTAGTGGCATACACTCTTCTTCAGAGGTGAAATTGGAGGTGGGATAAGAAGGGGATCTCTGACCTTCTCTGAAGCCCACCGTTAGGTACATCTGAAGTCACCTTAGTCTAGAACATTCATTAAAGGTTTGTTTCCTTACCCTGTTCTCGTTCAACTTCTGGAAAGATTAGCTGTGCCTACTGCCTCCTCTTTCTTACTCCTGAAGAATATCTTCTCCCCTACTATTCCAGTGAAACTGCTTAGTGCCCTGTGAAACCCAAAGAATATTTTCAGTCCTTAACTTGACCTTTCTGCTACATTTGGCATATTGCCCACCCGTGCTTTTAAAATTTTGTAATTTAATTTTCTTTTTAAATTCTGGTGTCATCCTTTCTTTACATGAAATTGTTTAAGCAAACCAAAAAATATAAAGAATAATATAATGAACACCCGTGTACCCCCACCCAGCTTAAGAAATAAAACATGAGATAAAATTAAAGCTTCTGTGGAGCCCTTCCCAGCTCATTCCCCTCCTTCCCTCCAGGTGACCATTATTCTGGTTTTGGTATTATCATTCCTATGCCTTCATGTATTTTTACTACATATTTATATATTCATTAAAAATGTGGTATTGTTTTCGCATGTTTTTAAACTTTACAAATGATACCATTTTATATATATGTACACATATAGGAGCCCTGGTGGCACAGTGGTTAAACATTAGGCTGCTAACCAAAAGGTTGGCAGTTCAAATCCACCAGCTGCTCCTTGGAAACCCTATGGGGCAGGGTCATTACAAGTTGGAATCAATTCGACGGCAATGGGTTTTATTTATTTATATATATATATATGTGTGTGTGTGTGTGTGTGTGTGTATACACATATATATATACCCAACTCCCCCTGCCAAAAAAAAGAAAACATTGCCATCAAGTCAATTCCCACTCATAGTGACTCTATATATATATATATATATATGAGTCCTTGGGTGGCACAAATGGTTAAGTGCTTGGCTGCTAACCAAAAGGCTGGCTATTCAAATTCTCACAGAGGCACCTTGAAAGAAAGGCCTGGCAATCTACTTCCAAAAGATCACAGTCATTGAAAACCCTATGGAGCACAGTTCTGCTCTGATCTGATACACATGAGTTGGAATTGACTCCATGGCAACTAGGTTGGTTTTATATATTGATATATGTGTGTAGCGGCACAGGGGGAGGGCGCATTTGGCAAACAAACATAGAAGGTGTGCGCTATTTGCGTATATACATGGACACACATATCTATATAAATGTAAAACCAAACCATATATATATTTGTTGCTGTTAGGTGCCGTCAAGTTGGTTCCGACTCATAGTGACCATGTGTACAACAGAATGAAACACGGCCCGGTCCTGCACCATCCTCATGATTGTTGTCATGCTTGAGCCCATTGTTGCAGCCACTGTGTCAGTCCATCTAATTGAGGGTCTTCCTCTTTTTTGCTGACCCTCTACCGAGCATGATGTCATCCTCCAGAGACTGATCCCTCCTGATAACGTGTCCAAAGTATGTGAGACATAGTCTTGCCACTCTTGCTTCTAAGAAGCATTCTGATTGTACTTCTTTCAAGACAGATTTGTTTGTTCTTTTGGCAGTCCATGGCATATTCAATATTCTCCACCAACACCATAATTCAAAGGCATCAATTCTTCTTTGGCCACATATATGTATGTTTGTGTATGTATATATATATATATATAAAATCTTTTGCAAGTGGACTTTTTGCTAAACCTATATTGTTACCCATAGCTCTAGGCATTGATTTCTAACTGCTGTGTAGTATTCCATGTATCACATTTAATCTGTTTTCCTTTGGCTACTCCCAGTGTTTTGCTATTACAACAGTTCTGCAAGGAACATTCTTGTACAAGTATCCTTGAGAACACGAGTGAGTTTTTCACTGCTGTATACCTAGGAGTAGAGCTACAGGATCTTAGCATATGTTTATCTCCATCTTTATTTGATATTATTAAGTTACTCTCCATTGTGGTTGTTCCAATTTACTCTAATGTTAGATCTTTATGTACATTATCTTTTGTCTTAATAACAACCTTGCAAAGTAGAAATTACCATTGTCATTTTAAAGATGAGTAAACTAAAGCTCTGAGAAAGTACAGTAGGTGATTTATCTAAGGTCACAGAGCTCATAAGTAGCAGAGCCAGGATTTGACTCCAAACCCAATGTTCTCTCCTCTCCTTATACCAGAGTTTATAAGGGGAGCAGTCATCATGCTAAAGCCAGAGAGAGGCCAAGAAGAATGAGGTCTGAATAGTAGTTACTAGATTTGAGAGCACAGAGCTCATAGGTGTCCTTGCTGAGTGTAGACAGACAGACACCAGGCTGCAGGGGGTTGAAGAAGTGAAGAGGTAGACTGCCTGGCAAAGAACAGGAGGTAAGAGATTGGCAGTGTTAGATGGGGAAAGTGAGGGGAAGGTGGTATCAGAAGATGAGGCGGAGTGGTCTGACTGGGTGAGCTAGGACCACTCTAGCTCTTCAGTCATTGGTTGTCTCCTCATTTGTTTCTTGGTGTCTGCTTGATATGTGGCCCTAGGGGCACAGAGGTAAGCAGAACATAGTCTTTATCTCTGAGTAGGGACTCCCATTCTAGGGGAGACTGAGATGCCCCAGCCTCCAGGCAAGATCCTGGGGCCTGGGAATGCATGTCCTGCGGACTCCAGAGCCTCCAGAAAACCAGATGAGATTCCCAAGGAAGGTATGGGGAAGTGCTGGGAGAGAAACTGTATGCCAGGGCTAGGAAGCCAGCAGAGATTTGCATGCCTGCCTGCTGTCCTGCCTCCCAGCTCCTTTCTCAGAGAGAAAGCTAGGGCAGTGGCCCAGCCCAGCCTTGTTTCCAGAGCTCCTTCTCCTTTCCTCTACCTCCTCCCTAGCCTCAGGAACCTGTGCTGAGACTGGGTTTGCATTAAAATTGCATTACCAGTAAACATGGGAGTTTAAGTGACCTTCTAAAAGTAACCTTCCTCTTCTCTCCACAGATAATCTGATCAAAGCCATCTTGTCTGTCACCAAAGAGTACCGCCTGACCCCTGCCTTGGACAGGTGAGCCACTCACTACCCAGCCTCCTGCTCTCATGTGCCTGGTGTGTGCAGAGATGTTCAGGCCCAGTATCCTTTCCTAGACATAGGCAGATTCTCCAGCATATCTACACATGTGCATACACTACACACACTGGAGTAGGTGGAGTAGACAAGGTGGACCAGTCCACTGGGCTGGCACCCTGGGGCTATAACCACGTGGCCAGGATATCCAGTCCTCAGACTTCAGAGGTTTGAGAGTAAGAACTGAAGACACTGGGGCTGGGATCAGTCCAGCACTGGGACTGAGAACCTGGGTGGTGACAGCTGAAGGGGACAAGGCTTAAGTCAACTCTGAAGCTGACAGACCCTGGATGGGGAAAGTCCCAAGGTCAGTGGTAGGAGAAGCAAAATGAGTAGGGCTCCCCTGTGTGGCTGCTGGGAGCCTGGGGACTTTCAAGTTGAAAAGAAGCAATCTTGAGTTCTGGAACATCCAGTCCCATCCTGTTCTCCTTGCTTGTCTGGCCTAGCCCTTGGCTCAGCCTACTTTTCCCTCTCTCCTGAAAGCATCCTAAACCTCACTGATCCTTAGGGAACATTTACCCCAGAATGTCATCTTACCAGCACCCCTTTCCTCACCATCGCCAGGGCTAATTCACAAGCCCTTCCCGTGTCCTTGTTTTCCTTGGGGAGTGTCAGGAACTAGGGATGACTAGGGAGTCCCAAGCAGCCTGGCAGCCACAGTCTGGTTCCCAGCTCCCTCTCAGAAATGCTGCCAGAAGCCCAGTGGTCTTTCTGTATCCCAGCCTGGTCCTGTCTAAGGACATGAGGTGAAGGGCCAAAGGGGCAGGGGAAAGAGAGACCTGGTGGACAGCTCTCCACAGAGGCCTCTGCCTCACCCTCAGCCTCAGCTGCCGCCGCTGCATCATCGTGGGCAATGGAGGTGTCCTTGCCAACAAGTCTCTGGGATCACGTATTGATGACTATGACATCGTGGTCAGGTAAGCTCCCCAAATCAGTGCCTCGGGCACCTGAGTGTCCTGGCCCAAACCCTGAGCCCTGGGCCCATTGAAAACCATCCATCTGTCTATCCATCTGACCAGTTGGGCTGGGGGCCAACAGAAGCCTTAAGAAAAACTCTGGGTTGGAGGGCTTTGGAATGGAGAAGTACATGCTACCCGGGGACCTGTGCTCTTTGTTCTCTGCACCTGGAGCACTGGGGGCATTCTGGGGTCATGATGTCTCCTCAAACACAGGCCCATGTTCATGGAAGTCTTAGAGCTTCTTGGTGCCTCCCCCCCCCGCCACCGCCACCACCACATGCATGGAGCTCAAGGCAGGCTCTCACTGGGCCTGCTCTCTGTAGACTGAACTCAGCACCAGTGAAAGGCTTTGAGAAGGACGTGGGCAGCAAAACAACCCTGCGCATCACCTACCCGGAGGGCGCCATGCAGCGGCCTGAGCAATATGAACGTGATTCTCTCTTTGTCCTCGCTGGCTTCAAGTGGCAGGACTTCAAGTGGTTGAAGTACATCGTCTACAAGGAGAGAGTGGTGAGCTCCCCGTGTGCACCAGCTTCTTCCCCTTATTGACCTGGGCCTTTCTCTGGCTTTCTCCAGCTTCCAAGTCAGCCCCTTTCTCTGGAACCCAGCAAAGAACAAGTAGGAACCTTTCAAAAGAAGCACTAATGACCCAGAGCTGAAAGACACCCAACGCAACCAAGGGACAGCGGCCAGGGTCACTGGCCCAGACTGCTGGACCTGAGGTGCCTGATATCTGCTACCTAGCCCCAGATACCCAGGCTCCAGGTCCTTTCTTGGCTGGCCTTCTCTAGCTAGACCCTGACCCTGGGTGCCCTTCCCTGGCCTTAGATCCTCAGGGTAAGGAAAGCTCTTATCTAGCTCGCCCCAATAGTACTCCCAATCTTCACTCTTCTGCCTTGACCTTGTAGTTGCCTCCCCAACACCCTCTTACCCTCTGTGAGGTCCCTCTGACTCTGGTCTTACAGCTCTTACCCTCATTTTCAGTCAGAGAAGGAGGGTCTCCTTGGGCTCTGGGGCCATTCTACAGGGATAGCAGACCCCGCAATCAGAGGGTGCCAACTCTCAGACTCTTAAGTTCTGGCTGCTCTCCACTTTGCACTTTAACCACTGGCCTGTAGCTGGATCCCCAGCCTGCCACTGAGCCTGAGTCCACTCTTCAGGGATGATCAGATTCTGTACTCATTGGTCCAGGCAGGCAAAGGTCTAGGCCCATTTCTTTAGGGAGCTTGTGTGGCAGAGTGGGGTCAGACTGCTCCTTAGTAGACCACCCACTGAGTCCCCTCCTGAGACCTCTATTTCTCAGCTCCAGGCCTACAGGGACACCTGCCAACTTGTCCACACATACCCACCTCAAACCAGCTGTCAGCAGCTGCCCCCCCACCCCCCACCCAGGGAGAGGGGTACTGCAGAGTTCAGGTCATTCATCTTCCAATACCCAAGCCTCTTACAAGAGAAGAATGATGATAGATGGCCCTCCGCCTACAGTAAGAAGCTAGTTGTTTTTTCTGGAGGTTTAGAGGAGAGTTGGGAGTGGGAACAGCTTAACCTGCATGTGGGGGTCTCAGTGCAATTTGGTTTAACTCCACAGCCTTTACCAAGCAAGGCGAAGTGCAGGCAGTGTCAAGTAGGTAGCAAGCAAGAGAGAAGACAGAAGTCAGGTCCAGAAATTCAGGTAGGTGGACCAGTGGGAAGGGGGAGCCCACCTCAGAACCAGGCTGAATGAGGTAGCCAAGCTCCACTGGGTCCAGGCTGGTTCTCCAAACAGAGGAAAGTGCCAGGCAATAGAGTGATCTTGTAGCTTCAGCCAGCCCTAACTGCAAGCAGGCCCACTGCCCGTACAAACCAGGCAGACAATGGGGGCTGAGGGGGCATCCCACTGTTTTCAGAACTCTGGGGCTTGATACACTAGCAGCATCAAAGCCCTTCTCTTTGCCTTGAGGGCAATAGGATTTGGATTGCAGGTAGGCATTTGTGAGAGAGAAATGGGAGGAAATGGGGTCTGCCCTGGTGAACTCCGTGGAGCCTGGGGACTGCTTTCTCATGCTGGCCTTCTACCCATCTGCCCACCCGCTCCTGGCACATCCTTTTCTCTGCCCATGAACACCTGTCAAAGCCTCCCTTTAGGCTAGGAGCTTCGGGAGGGCAAGGCCCTGATCTCATTTCCTTTCTCTTACCTCTCAGTGCCCGGTCACCATAAAGGTTTGTGAATGGTCTGGAATTGGCTGAAACACAGGTTTTGCTTCCTGCTGGGCAGATTGGCATGGAACAGACAGCCCAAGTAAGGAGGCCAGGCCAAAGGGGTGGGTCAGGTCCCACCTTCCACGTTAATTCAAGGCTGTTACAGTTCATCCAAGGGAGTAAGAAAAGAAAGAAGAAAGGAGGCCAACTAGAGTCCGAGGACTCACTGTACTCAGGCCACTCAGGTACAGACACAGGGCCTCAGCTTTTCCCTGAAGACTCTGAGGAGCTCTCCGCCTGGTCTTTTCCAGGCAGCAGACAGATCCAAGGTACAAGAGCAGTTGGAAGGAGGAAGAGTGGGGTGTGCTCAGGCACATGCTCACCCTTGCTGATGTTTGTGTCCTATCCTGGCCATGCACAGGGACCTTGGACCAGCCTTGTGTTGGTGAGAACTCCTTCCCAGGGGTTGGTTGGGGGTGAGTCAGGAGGGGAGAGAGGAGGCGGCGGGGAGTCCTCTGAACTTGCCTGGCTCCATAGTCAAAGACAATTTGGGCCTTTAGAGTGAGCTGCCAGAGGGTTGCCAGTGATGCCTGTGGCCTCCCCTCTCACAGCACCCAGAGTGGGTCTGTCCAGGCCCTTTCAGCTACCTCGGAGGCCTCACCCTTAGGGCCCTTCTCCACCCCAAGCGCAGGGCTGATGCATTCCTGGGACCTCTTCCACGCTCTCCTTCCCTTGTGTGGCATCTGAGAGGCAGGTAAATATGGAGATGTTGCTTCTCCAGAACCCCTCCGGTCTGGTGCCCAGACACACGGCCCAGCCACAGGCTTGTCCTGTACCTGCAGTGATGATTCTAACCTTGCAGCCTCTGGACTGCTGGAGAGCTCCCTGCACCTGTCTGGAGGCTCACCTGTAGAATTCTGGCAGGAGGCAGCTCCGTATTCTGGAGCCAAGGCCTGGCTGGGCAGGGCTGGAATAGGCATTAGACCTCAGTCATGACTGCTGCCTGCCACCAGCTTTGTGAGCAGCCACTCATTGCATATAACTTTCTGGTACCGAAGAGTCCTGCAGGGATATAGGAAGGGAAAGATGTGGGCAAGGAAGACTGAACAACCCAGAAACAGACTGTGCCAGGACTGGCCCTGCTTTCTTCATCCATCTGGGAACTCTCCTCTTCACTATTCATGGCCATTGGGCAGTAGCACAGATAACTCCAAACAAGTTACAGAAAGGCCTTCATCTCCCAGGTGAATGTTCCCTGGTCCCAGGAGCCCTGAGCAAGCCAGCAAGCCAGACTAGGGAATTCTCAGCAGGCCACGTGTGCTTGGGGCAGCTCAGAAGAGCACCAATGGACTGGGCGAGTAGGGAAATGGTGGTTGGGAGAGAGGGTGGAACCAGGACATGGGGGTGCTGCTGCACAGAAGGCCATGGTAAGACGAATCAGTTCTCCTCAGAGGCATATCTGGCATCCATCCCTCTGTGCACTCACTCATTCAGCAGATGTTTGTTGAAGTGTTCTCCGTGGTGGCACTGTGCTGGTCTCTGGGAATACAAAGATGGATTAAGCACTGTTGCTGGCTGGAAATCGCTCACAGTCTGGTGGGAGAGACTTCCTGAAACTAGCGTTATAATATGATGGGGGGTGGGGGGCTACTGTGACGGGGAGACACCTAAACCAGCCTCCTGGAGTAAGTCACTCCTGAGCTGGACCCTGCAGGAGGAGTTAGGAGTCAGAGGGGTAAAGGTTGTTGTAAGCAAAGTGAGCAGCGTGTGCAGAGGCCTGGAGCGACTGTGCTCCCTTCAGGAGAGTTTAAGTAACACCACGTGGATAGAACATAGCACAGTGCAGGTGGTGTGTCAGAAGCCTGCTGATGTCCCAGATGCAGGGGCCTGTGCGTCCTCCTCCTGGTGGTTGATGGAGGCTGGAGACACCCTGACCACTGTCCTAAGGAAGGACCCTGGGGCCAGGAGATGATGGGACAAGTGAAGGGCAGAGCTTCCCATCCAGTCACGCAGGCCCCATTCCTCTTGCCTCTGCCAGCTCCCCACAAAGCCCCAGGGTGCCTGGTAACTCAGGGCTGCAGAAGCCCAGGGAGCTGCCTTCCCAGTCCCCTCTGCTTCCTCCTCCCCCTCTTCCTCCCTCATCCTCACTCCTGAAACTGGACAGCTGGCCTCACTGCTGAGCTCTGATTCTGGTCATCAATTCTGCAAGGCCCTGAGGCCTGGGCTCAGTTGATGTGGGTGTGGGTGTGGCCCCAGCCCAGCACAGGGAGGGGGAGCAGGCAAGGCTGGGCATGGCCCCTGGACAATCTCGACACAGGCTTGACCTTCTAGCTGTAGTTCAGTCCCGGGGGAGGTAGAGGAGTGGGGGAGGGAAGGAGGAAGGGAGCTCTAAGAGGCCAGCCAGGGCCCCACATTTGTGCTCAGAGTGGCTGAGTCCCTGAATTTGGGAGAGACAACATGGTTAAAGAGGGAAAAGCAGCTTAGGCCTTGGAATCATACAGATACGGGTTTAAATTTAGACTATTCCTTAACAGCTGGCTTACTTTAGGCAAATTACCTAGTGGTAGAATTCTTGCCTTCCATGCAGGAGACCTGGGTTCGATTCCCAGCTAATTCACCTCATACATGCACAGCCAACACCCATCTGTCAGTGGAGGCTTCCTGCATGTTGCTGTGATGCTGGACAGGTTTCATTGAAGCATCCAGACTAAGACAGACTAGGAAGAAAGGCCTGGTGATCTACTTCCAAAAAATCAGTTAATGAAAACCCTGTAGTGTGGGGATGGTGCAGGACTGGGCAGCATTTGTTCTGTCATGCATGAGGTCGCCATGAGTGTGTAGCTGACTCAACAGCAGCTAACAACAACAACAGAACAGGAGTAGTACCACTTATCTTTCAAGGTTGTTTTAAAAAATTAAACAAGATGAAATATGAATGCACCTAGTACAGTGCTTGGCACTTAGTAAGTTCTCACTCAATGGCAGTTATTAATGTTACTTATTATTGTATTATTATTATTGATGGTGGTGTTGCTGTTAGAAAAGCCCAGTTCCACTGGGCAGTGAAGCATTTTTTTATTCACTGAGAACCACTGGCCTGCAAGATAAAACTCAAACTCCCAGGCGTAGTGCTCCATGCTCTGTCACTTCCAGTACCCTCCCTTGTCCTTGCCACTCTTTCTCACCCCCAGCGTGGACTTTTCACTCTGGCTATGCTGAAATATGTATCCTATTTCACACCTCCACGTCTCGCCTGGCTTCCCTGCCCAAGGCTGCATTAGATGTTCCTCATCTGAGTCCCCTCCATAACGTTCATCACTCTTTATCATACT